CATCTAAATACAACTGATTTTTTAATAAACTTTTGAAAATATTACACATACTCATGAGAATATAGAAGAAATACAACAAACCCCAAGTCATTTCCAAAATGCTGTCAGTGCCCTTCCCATATTTTAGCACGCAGGCCTAAGTCAACCCACATCAAGTAAGCACTATCAGAAAGGAGAGCCGAGATACTGCTTTTTTTTGAGCGCGCAGAACACACTTTTAGGTGTTCCCCATATTCCACTCACACATTTAGGTGTTCTCTATGTGATATTTAATTTTTTCCTACTGAAATCCACATTAAATTCTACATATTGAAAATGAGAAGAAGAGCACAAATCAATGCTGATCATCTGGAAGACTGGTGATCATAGAATTAAACCTAGCTAGAGGTATTAAAGATAACAGGAAGGGATTCTACAGGTACATAGCAAATAAAAAACAGACTAGGGAGAATGTAGGCCCCCTCACGAAGCTCTCAGGAGAACTGGCTACACAGGATTTGGAGAAGGCTGAGGTTCTGAATGACTTCTTTGCCTCAGTCTTCACTGGCAAAGGCTCTGACCAAACCACCCAAGACTTGGAAGGCAGATGCAGGGACTGTGAGAATGAAGACCTTGCACCCACTGTAGGAGAGGAACTGGTTCGAGACCATCTCAAAAATCTGAATGTGCACAAGTCTGTGGGTCCTGATGAAATCCATCCGCGGGTCCTGAAGGAGCTGGCAAATGAAGTTGCGAAGCCGCTGGCCATCATATTTGAGAAATCATGGCAGTCAGGTGAAGTTCCCGATGACTGGAAAAAGGGAAATATAACCCCCATTTTCAAGAAGTGGAAAATGGATGACCCGGGGAATTACAGACCAGTCAGTCTCACCTCTGAGCCTGGCAAAATCTTGGAGCAGACTCTCCTGGAAGGCATGCTAAGGCACATGAAAAACAACAAGGTGCTTGGTGACAGCCAGCATGGCTTCACTAAGGGGAAATCAGCCTGACCAATTTGGTGGCCTTCTATGATGGGGCTATGGAACTGATGGACAGGGGTAGAGCAGCTGATGTCATCTACCTGGACTTGTGTAAACCATTCGACACTGTCCCACATGACATCCTTGTCTCTAAATTGGAGAGACATCAATTTGATGGATGGACCACTCGGTGGATAAAGAACTGGCTGGATGGCTGCACACAAAGAGTTGTGGTCAATGGCTCAATGTCCGGCTGGAGACCAGTAACGAGTGGTGTCCCTCAGGGACCAGTGTTGGGACCGGTCTTGTTCAACATCTTCATCGCTGACAACATGGACAGTGGGATTGAGTGCGCCCTCAGCAAGTTTGCTGATGACACCAAGCTGTGTGGTTTGGTTGATACCCTGGAGGGAAGAAATGCCATCCAGAGGGACCTCGACACGCTTGTGAGGTAGGCTGATGCCAACCTCATGAAGTTTAACCATGCCAAGTGCAAGGTCCTACACCTGGGTCGGAGCAATCCCAGGCACAGCTACAGGTTGGGCAGAGAAGAGATTCAGAGCAGCCCTGAGGAGGACTTGGGGGTGTTGGTTGATGAGAAAACGAACATGAGCCAGCTTCAGTGTGCGCTTGCAGCCCAGAAAGCCAACTGTATCCTGGGCTGCATCAAAAGGAGCATGACCAGCAGGTCAAAGGAGGTGATCCTGCCCCTCTACTCTGCTCTTGTGAGACCTCACCTGGAGTATTGTGTGCAGTTCTGGTGTCCTCAGCATAAAAAGGACATGGAACTGTTGGAACAAGTCCAGAGAAGGGCCACAAGGATGATCAGGGGACTGGAGCACCCCACGTATGAAGACAGGCTGAGCAAGTTGGGGCTGTTCAGTCTGGAGAAGAGAAGGCTGCGTGGAGACCTCATAGCAGCCTTCCAGTATCTGAAGGGGGACTATAGGGATTTTGGAGATGGACTCTTCATTAGAGACTGTAGTGATAGGACAAGGGGTAACGGGTTAAAACTTAAACAGGGGAAGTTTAGATTGGATATAAGGAGGAAATTCTTTCCTGTTAGGGTGGTGAGGCACTGGAATGGGTTGCCCAGGGAGGTTGTGAATGCTCCATCCCTGGCGGTGTTCAAGGCCAGGTTGGACGAGGCCTTGGGTGATATGATTTAGCGTAAGGTGTCCCTGCCCAAGGCAGGGGGTTTGGAACTAGATGATCTTAAGGTCCTTTCCAACCCTAACTGTTCTATGATTCTATACAGTATTTGCTTCACAGCTCTTTGCCTTCAGCATTTAAAAGATCTGCCCTTCTAGAGCCCATCAAAGTTCTATCATCTCTGTGGCAGATGTACAGAGAGAAAGCTGAAGAAACAAGATAAATATACAACATTTGCAACTTCCTGAGCCACGAGTCACATCTGGAGAATCATATTTAACAGCCACTGATGGCCACACGCTTCCCTTTTTTGAATCCACTTAAAACTTCTACTCAGAACCTATATAGTTCTGAGACAAGAAGACAGAGAAAACATCCAAAAAGAAAAAATCAGAAGGGTGTGCATCTTTAGTAGTCATATGATACAGTCAATCCTCATGACATCACATCCTTCACCAAGTTCAATCACTAAAAGCTGAGGAAAAACATTCCACAAATGAAAGGTCCCATCCCCTCTCTGACATGCAGCGAAAACCTGACTACTTTGTGTGTAGATGTGCAAAGAAAAACTGACACTATGCATAAATATAGAGTTCTACACAGGCTTTCTCACTTAGGACTAGATAAATGTCACAGGCTAACTTTTTCCTGTTTTTACAAGGATTTGCAAGCAAAAGCCCACCAAGAGTAAGAACTTTCACTAAAAAATTACTTTGGTTTCAATTAAACATGTAAGAGAACAATGGAACATTACTCCAGTTTTCCCCTCAAAGCAATACAGATCCTATAAATATATGTGAAATGGATACAGACATTTGTCCTATATGCATTACTGGGATTTCTTTGTATTGGTCTGGCTTAAGCAGTGAGAGCTGCTGGTCCATGAAAGGAATTATGAGCTCTGCTTCTGAATTGCAAGAATGTTCTATTCAAGTGTTCATTTACTTTATCTTATTACCAGTTTTCTTCTGGATAAATTACATCTCTTGTTCAGATACCTCTGCTGCCTGATCCCCACTGCCTACAAAGGGTGAAGGCCCTTATTTGCATGTGCCTTATGATGCAGAGAAAATACATGACGTAATTTAAAATGTTTAATTTACTTTAAAAAAGCCCAACAAAACAACCCCTACCTCCCCCTTTAATATTAATCTGACCAAAGCAAAAAGCATCAGGCCCCTTTCAAAGGTATACCAACAGTTTTGGCCATGCACTGAAAATTACCTGGTTTCTCTTTCCATGGACAGACCATTTAAAAATACTCTCTTTGTTAAAGGCTTTCTTAAAAAAGGGTTACTGGTTTAGCTGTTGTACAATGATTTTTTTTGTACTGTACAGGCTTGCTACTATCTAGTCATGATTAGCTACAACTCTAAAACCATGTACTCACTGCAGATCATTCTCTAATAGTGCTCTTCAATCAGCTGGACATGAAAATCTCTGCTGAACCCTTTAAATTGACCCATGAAAATAGGAGGTATTCAGTTCTGGCACTTCGAATTCCTATGATTTGAACAAGACTTAGTGAAACACAAGAGGAACCACCTGAACATCAGAAAACACATTTTTTACTGTGAGGTCGACTGAGCGGTGGAACAGGCTGCCCAGAAAGGTTGTAAAGTGTCCATCCTTGGAAATATTAACAGTCTAGGCAACCAGCTCTAGATGGCCCTGCTTGAGCCAAGCGGTTGGATCAGACGACCTCCAGAGGTCCTTTCCCACTTCAACCATTCCGTGATCATTACCCTATCAAGACACCCCAGAGATCATATCTTAAGCAGAAAGCAGACTCATGAGAAATAAGTTACTACTACCACTTCAGCATCTGACCTCTCTCTGTGTGCAGCTAATGTGTGCTTCAGTGGAACTACTCAACAGGATGATGTATCATTTGAGACTCATACCAAGCCTATTTTTTAAGATTAGTGTATAGTATTAGTGTAGGAGTGAGTGCACAGGAACACTTTTTTTTTTTAATAGGAGAAAGAGAAACAACCTTTTAAAAGCTACTATTAAAATAGAAGTACCAGTAATCTAACTGGAGATAACCATCAAGTTGGTCCTGGGGTTAGCTTATACACACCTTTCCTCATCTCCCTGTCTGTTACATTTCCTCTGAAATTTCATTAGCATAATCAAGAGAGGAGCAATCTTTCAAAATTAATCTCTGTTAACTATTGTAATGAAATCCTGAATCTAAACAGGACTCTCAAAATGAACACAAGAGAAATTGTACTGGTACGAATCAGGAAACACCCACAATGTAACACATTATTTTCACTAGTGGGTTGACTCAATGCTGCCTGTGGTGGTATAAAGCAAACCGCAAATACTCATTCATATGCCACACAACTATTGTGGAACTGATTTTGCGCATGGAAAAAAAACTATTTATCAAAATAAATATGTGGTATAGTCCTTGCCAAACATCCACTCCCCAAGGTCTAATTTAGCAGAATTCTTTCATTTTCTCTGGAGAAAATCTGAAGGGTCCCTCACCTCCCCTCACAATGAGTCATTCCCTCACAGAGCTGCATGGTGTTTCCTTTGGCTATAGCTAACAGTTACATATTATAGAGCACAACTCAAATAAAGTAATGAAATGTTTTACTCATCTTTTACTAAACACACTTCGATGAAGTAAAGAGTTGAAAACATGTTTTTTAAGAAAAACTTTTCTCATTAAAAGAAAGGCCAGAAATACAAAAGCCTTAGCAACCACTCATTTTAATATGAGCATTCTTTGCTTTAATGATCTCCTGTCTCTCAAGACAAAAAGATAACATAAAGAGAAAAAGCATTACTTTTTTTTTAATTAAGGATAATGTGAGAGCCTATATTGTATATATTCAGTCAAAGTGCCCTTTTAAAAAAATCTGAGATACTTACGGAGTCCAAACCCTTGGAAATGCAGCAATTTCTTCTGGTGTATATTCATCTAACCTCTTGGGGACTACACGTGGCTGAGGAATCTCTTGTAGAAGATTCTTCTCTATATCTTCTGGAATAACCTGAGGAAGGTAAGAACAGTCTCAGCTATCTCCCTATTTTAAAAAAATAACACCAATTCCCCCTCAAATCCATACCAAAATCTGTCCACACTACTGCATTCTTCATGCTAAGTTTTTGACGTAAATAGAGGCATGTCTTATACGTCATAATTCTGGGAAATTAATAAAGACAAAAGCACCAACATTTCTGCTACATTTAAACACATAAATAAAAAGCAGCTTGATTTTTCTGAATTTACATTCTTATGACAAGAGTTTTGCTATTCCTAACACTCCCCCTTCACCTCCAAATCACACAAGAATGAAAATATAACTGCATGACTACTCACATCTTCTGGGAACAGGTGCAGTCTCTGCATCATAGTTCTTCTCTGAAGGTTTTTTGGAAGCATTCTATAAACAGTGAGTTTAACTATCTGAGGAAAGATAAGATGGTAACAAATAATCAGGGAGGCCACAAATAACACGAAAAAGGTAAGCTGCGTTTCCCTCTGCCTATTCCACAAGTAACTGAACCTGTTTTCAGTCAACTTCTTCCATGTTGATGAACTTTAGCACCACATTCAAAGGTGCTCTAGACCTCTAGACTTCTGTTTTGGCAGAAGAAATACTAACTCTCCATCATATAAAGACTTACTCTAACAGCCATACAGAAAATTTCAGCTCAGAAAGGTAAGAGCTATATTTAGCATTGTGGATGACTGCATATGATCATTCAACTTTGAAAAGAATTGAGAAGCTTTTTTATATACCACAAAAACTGGATAGGTTCTAACAAATTTACCAAGGGTTCCCAGAAACTAGTTTAACATGGATTTGCTGTGTTTGACATTTCTACATAATTAATACATCCTATCTTAAGCAATGCTGACACACCAAAACACTGCATTGTGAACGTATTATATATATTTATAATTTATTCTCTCGTTATTAGTTCCAGATGAACAATCTCATTTCTGAGCATCAGGAATGAATGGAATTTGTTCATCTATACTAGACTGTGCTTATTGAAAAGTAACAAAATTCAACAGGATTTCTCATGGACTCTAGTATAGATAGATGCCTGTAATTTAAATACAAAACACATCATTATAGAGAACATCTGTAAATGTAAAACAAGGCATGCAACTGTAGGAGACAAAAAGGGTTTTAGAAAGGACAGCAATGCACTTAGGGTTAGACCTATGTGCAATCTGGTAAGCAGGAGGTGTGCTCCACACCACCCAGACATAAAGTAGCTCCACATCAGGAATGCTTAGTGCAACCTTAAGCTGAAGTCGATAAGCCAAACTGAAATGCAGTGCACTAAGTACAAATGAATCTCCCAGGCATCTGGGCGTTTTGAAAAAAGTATTAAGCAAACTCACTTCCTTTAAGTAAATGAATTAAAGGAATTAAATTGAAATTTTAGAGACAATGACTAACACTGATTTCCCAGCTGGAACCACGTAATTATGGTAGAATGATTAATTATTGCAAGTGAAATTAACGGGAAGTGCAGGTTCTTAAGCTTGCAGGCATTTCTACTTGAATTCTGAAGTTAGCCAACACTCAAGCTAATTTGGCCCCAGTATTATTTTCATTTTGCCGCGTAGCAGACAGTAACATTGTCTTAGAATCCTCTTAAATGTGCATTAAAAGCCTTGAGAAACTCTGAAGTCATTTAGAGAACCCTCAACATCACGCAGATTCTCAGATGTTATGCAGCCAGTACCACCACCAAACCCATGGACAAATATAATTAAAACATACATATATGTAGATAAAGTACATCAGGTTGGGCAGAGTAATGTAAAGTGTTGATACCTTCTCTAATAAAAGTTAATAAGAAACTATTAGAAAAAAAGATGAAAACTAATGCTTTTAGGGATAAACTGTAGCTTGCTTGTACAGAAAACTACAGTTTATTTAGTCATGTGCTTAGACAAAGAACATAAGATGAAGACAGAAAATGGACTGTGACTGGTTTACTTCACTGAATACTGAAAATCAAGACAGACACCATAACAATATAAGAAAATACATAGATATGAGCAGCAGCTCATGTGAACAGCTCTTCTGCCATTAATAATTTTCATGTCATATACTTATTTTCCTTTCTACCCAGTATTTTTACTTATAGCCAATAAAAGATCAAATTAAATCACACGTAAAATGATAGATCCAGATACTTCACAACACATTGCCTAACTGTGGGGATATTTTTCCTTACGTAAAAATCACTTTTAACTTCAGATTGTGATAGAACCAGTGCTAATTCCTCAGATTAGTAAACTGTACATACACAGGGCCAATATATGCCCTATGAATTAATTATTTCACTCCAATAAAAAGAAAGACTTTAAAATATTTTAATGAACATTGTTAAATGTTTTACTTCTTCAAACAGCCAATGTTTATGTGTCATTTTTGATCTTCCTCGGCAGCATGTGGCACAGACATCTGTCGAAACAAACCAGTGAGCTGGACAAACAGCTGGTCTATTCTGGCTGGGGAGGCTTCTGCCTGGTAAACCCAACCTAATTTTTTTAGCCACACTACAAAGGTAACAGTTCAGTTGTAAAAATGAGCCTATTAAAAAGCCATACTGGAAAAGAATGACTGATTTATATGCTTAAGTTAAACAATGAAGAAATACTCTCAATGTTCTGTATTGTCACTGCAGAACTGACAACCTCAGGTCACAACAGATTAACATGAAAGCAGGACTTTGATAAAGGACAGTGAATGATTATAGATAATTATACTTTCAATACCCATTTCTATAGAACAGTATGCTAAGTGCAATAAGCATAATCCAAGGTATGCTTTGGTACATCTGCCAATCTCCATGCTGTTCAAGAATACATTTGGCTTTCTGTGCCCTCTCACTGTCCTGGGTTCAGCAGTAGCAGTCATTTTTCTCCTTCTTGGTAGCTGGTGCAGTGCAGTGTTTTGACTTTCGGCCTAGGAACAGAGCTGATAACAACGATATTTTGGTTTGGCCAAGGACTTTGTGAGCCTCATGCTCTGCCAGGGAGGAGGGGAAGGCGGGAGGAAGCAGAGACAGGACACCTGACCCAAGCTAGCCAAAGAGGTATTCCATACCACAGCACGTCATGCCCAGGAGGTAACTGGGAGCTACCTGGAAGGGCTAGGACTGCAGGGTCGGAGGAGGTATCGGTCAGTGCTTAGTCGGGCTGGGGGGGCGAGTTATCGGTCGGCTGGTGGTGAGATGTTATATTCTCTTCCCTTGTTATTTCCTTTATCACTGTTATTACTGGTGGTAGCAGCAGTGATTTGTGTTATACCTTAGTTACTAAACTGTTCTTATCTCAACCCGTGGGAGTTGCATTCTTTTCGATTCTCCTGTCCCTCCGGGAGTAGGGGGAGGGCAAGAAGGGGGGGAAGTGAGTGAACAAGCTGTCTGGCTGGGTTTAAACCACCACACTCACACATGCAAGAAGTGCATTACCATGAGATCTGCAACAGAAAAATCACCTCCACATGAATCACAAACCATTTTTTACTGCCAGGCAGAGCACAGAACCATAGAATGGCTTGGGCTGGAAGAGGCCTTAAAGATCATCTCCTTCTGATCCCCTGCCATGACCAGGGACGCCTTCCACTACAGTAGGTTGTTCAAAGCCCCATCCAGCCTGGCCTTGAACACTTCCAGGGATGGGGCATCTACAGCTTCTCAGGACAACCCATTCCTGTGTTTCACCACACTCACAGAAAATAATTTCTTCCTAATATCTATTCTAAATCTACCCTTTTTCAGTTTAAAATCATTCCCCCTTGTTCTGTCACTATAGGTCTTGGAAAAAAAAAAAGTCTTTGTCCATCTTTCTTGCAAAGTCCCCTTTACATACTGAAAGGCCATAAAAAGGTGTCCCCAGAATGTTTTCTTCTCCAGGCTGAGCAACTTCAACTCTCTCAGCCTTTCCTCATGTGAGAGGTGCTCCATCCCTCTGATTATTTTCATGGCCTTCCTCTGATTGGTTTCTGGGCTGTGAGTGCACACTCCACCAGTTTCCCTAAGTCCTTCTCCACAGGGTTGCTCCCAATCCTTTCATCCCCCAGCCTGTACTGATACTCGGGATTGCCCAGACTCAGGTGCAGGACCTTGCACTTGGCCTTGTTGAAATTCAAAGGTTTGCATGAGCCCAACTCTCAAGCCTGTCACAGTCCCTCTGGATGGCATCCCTTCCCTCTAGTGAATCCTCTAGTGAATCAACTGTGTCACTCAACTTGGTGTTATTCACCAGCTTGCTGAGGGTCCATTTAATCCCACTCTCTATGTCACTGGTGAAGATATTAAATCCCTGCCAGATCCAGAACAGGAAACTGGACTTCACTGTTCTCTCCCATTCTGGAGCTTCAATGCAATTGAATGAACTCTCAGATGAAACAAACTGGTAACTTACTAGCTAGACATTTCAAATAGCTAATTTTTTAATTATATGTTTTTGTGGTTATCACAGAGCCTTTAATGGCTGAGCCACTTGCAAATATGGCCACCTATATGTGGAAAATAAGAGGAGGAATAATCTTGGGTTTGAGCATGCATGTTCCCTGCCTCAGCAACACAGAGTAGAGACAAAGAGGGAACAAAGCCTCGGTTTCTGCAAGTGATCATAATTTCCTTGCTGGAACAGCTGAAAGGCAGATGCCCATCTCTAACTCCTCAAGCTCATTCATCTTGGTCAAGAAGAGAAAAAAAAGAAAGAAAGAAACAAACAACAACAAAAAAAAAGGTGCATAGAGGTGGTGATAACCTATTATTTGAGATCTGTAAAAAGCCAAGCAAGTGTATTACTAAGCAAACTGGAGTGCAGATTAAAAAGGCTGCACTGTTCTATACCTGTATTATTGATTTATTGTAAAGTTGTTAGTCCACCTACAGAACAGAAGGCCATACAGGAACCTAGGACAGAGAAAACAGTGCTAGAAAACCTCTAACTTCCTTCATTGTTATTTCTGCCTCAAAGACTTCTACAAGCCAAAACAAATCCAAACCCAGCTCCTGGCAAGACCAAATTTACATTCAGTTCCTTGCCCCAAATTCTGTCTAGAGCCAAAACCTCACTCTGATTGGTGTGATGACAAGTCAAAGAAGTTAGTAAAGTACAGGCTTAACTGAAGTTGTAAGGACTGCTTTTGCAACCTGAGTAAGATTGTGTAACAGAAAAGGCAGCTCCAACCAGCAATATTTACAGGGTGTTAAGTAAGGGCTCTCCTGTTACCTGAACATGCTCAAGTTTTACTAAAAATACATCAACCCTAAACTAAAAAGGTATGGAATTGCAAAAATAAGTTTGCTACTGAGCTCAAGCAAAACCCAAACCCAGCTTCAATGCTCCCTGAAAGCACACATCTGAACATTCTGTTTAAGCAATTAACAACACCTTTCTGCATGTTTGTAATAAAAGAC